GTGTGTGTGTGTGTACGTATATATGTACGTATGTATGCACGTATGTACGCATGTATATGTACATAAATACATACACACGCACACACACACACACTTTATATATATATATATATATATATATATATATATATATATATATATATATATATATATACTTATATATATATTATAGTGTATATACAATATAAACCCTGGTGATATACAAATATTGTTGTTGAAATGCCTTTCGTTTTTCGTTTCATATCAGTACGACACCTTGTAATGTTTTAGCTTTATCGGTGTGTGCCTATGGTACGATATATTTGATTCTTGAAAAATTCACAACTTACACGTGAAAGGGATCCACAAACTGACACATTCTCAACAGAAGAAGAAATCTGGAATTCTGAAAACTAACCTGACCAGTTCGGGCCTTATTTAGGTTGTACAGTACGCAGTCAACCTTGCATAACCTACGGTCCTTGCGTCCTAAGATAGTATCATATGTGCATACTTGCCCCCGAATTGCATTTTATTGAAAGTATATCGGGCAATCAAGTGTATCTGTCTGCGTACAACTTCATACGACTTGTCAGGACCAACCCATTGCAATTGGAGCTGTGCGAGGCTTGAGGCCTTCAGTGTGTTGCTTTTCAATGAATTCCAAAGTATGACTTCCATATTTACACTATTATTGTAATCTTAATGTCAAGCGTACTTACAAAATATGCTTGAGGTTTTGAGTGTGTTTGCTGACAGAGAATCAAGCCTTGACATAATTGCCTGTGAAAATTAGAAGGGCAGTAGAAACAGATTTCGATGAGGCAAGATAAAAAACATCGTTGTAACGCCAAGTCCATGTCATTTGTCCACGCGAATTCGAATACGGTGAATTTCTTTACTATCAGGTCTCAGAACTACATTTGGGATATCCCTAGACATGAAAAAAGAACAATTTGAGTTCGAAGACGAGCAAACGGTGCCACGTATACATAATATGTAGAATATGGGTGACGATATATGCGGACAACGAACTATCAATCTAGTACGCCAGACTACCTACCACGGCCTTCGCATCCCCCAGGCGGTATCCTAAACCAAAACTGGCAGTGTTGTGCGCATAAATCACCTCAAGTCCTTCTACATTACGTTTTACTGCCAACACGCCGACTGGCTTCGCCTTCACATTCCTCAAAAATCGGCAATCTGTTATAAGGTTGCATGAAATTTATAAATATATAAAATATGGATGTATTGTCGATTATGATGACCCCAGGGTTGGGAAATATATCAAAAAGACTTGGACAAAGGTCTTCGATATATATGACTAACATTATACCGGTCACGTTGTGCTATTGAAACTTTGCAATTACCTAGCATTTCCCTTGTGATTGTGCCGTGTAATGTTGTGGCTGGGTCGGCATCATTTTCACGCGCGAGCTGTTGCCCACAATTCAGAGCGAGCATTGATCTCTGTATATACTCGCCTGTCCCTGATATGCTAACACCCACGCCACTCGGTTCTGACCCCCTCTCCTGGTCTTTTGATTTCTGGGGATCACTATCGGCGTAGCACCCGCATCCGTACAATGCGGCCTGTGTATGATATGTTTTAAGTCCATTACTAGACTGTACACGCGCTATGGAGACAGTGTGTGAGTTTAAGATCAGCAAGTCTATGAAGTTGTGCAGACAAATTCATGTAGAAATGAAGCCAGTCTGCGTCTCTTGTCTAAGTGTTCTCTACGCCCACGTACTTGTGTTCTACTATTATCACTTTTTGAGGCAGCGAGAAGAGAAAAAAATAACCTTCTACGACCACATCGGCGGCAACAGGCATCGAGACTAATATTCACCTACCTCACCCACTCGACCTGGCATTTTCAACGATATGCCACCACTCGAAACTCCACTGGTGACGCTGCCATTCGAATCGCTACATATGGCTCCTACCGTATCTTGAGTGAAGTCTGTCTGTTGGTAAAATTGATATCAAACACCCACAAAATAACGTATCGACCATCATGGAAGAGACAATGTTGTCAAACATACATCAAGACAACGCAACCCTACCCATATACCGAGCGAATGGAGGAAAATCAAATACTATTCCCGTCTAACTATGTTTTTGTGAGCCGACGCACCTAATTATAGTGATAAGGGAATCGGGCGAATTTAGATAGCAATAGATCCTAAACTCTCGAAAAGTCGTTAAATTTTTTCTTAAGTCATTCGTAAATTACTACCTCGACAATGAGGCTTGGCCGAGAATATGCCTACACCAAACAGCAAATCAGATGCGACACTTTCCGAATCAAAGTGAACTTCACAGACACCGCTCCTTAAATATTCGATACACGTTCTCCAGAGCTCACATGGTCATACACAAATGCTATGCGTATTCCTAAAATAGAAATTCGGTGCTCGCTGTCTTTTAGCATACCCTCGCTCTTTTTGAATTCTTTGCCAAACAGTCATCACCAGCATCGGATTGCAGGCTCGCCACCCTGGCTTCTCTCCAATCCCTTAATGTCTGCTTATTCGACTTGTACTTCTGCCTACTGCTCTCTGAGTGATGGCGGGCAATCTATTATACATGAGTGTTTCTCTATTCGTAGAGATTGACAGTACTGAAGTTTGCACGATGGGTGTACTTACGAACCTGTTTGCACACTTACACGACATTTAGAATGGTGCTGACAGGTTCTCGGACTTCCACTATGAATTCATCATGTATCGCAATGAAATCAGTCAATCAGCTTCACCAACCAGTCTAATTTGATACTTCTATATATACAGAGATACAGTGAGAACCGAAGGTCGTGACAGAAAGATGTGAATCGAACACAAGAGTTGTTTGGTTGTCTCTGTAAAAACTTATACTTACATATTAACGCCTATACTCAGGCTTGAGATGGAAGATCTTTCACCTAGCTCGGAACCATGATCTGATCTCATTTCATACAAGTCCTCACTCGTAACTCACTACGCACATACACAAACGCTCGTGACAAATTGGAATCACAGGATATTACGAATGACACATGAATACTTTTAGGCTATACTTGATGATACGAAATGTATCGTCTACTGCGCAAGGAACCAGTTGATGTCATGACAAAAGTAACTAAAACTTTAAGGAACAGGTATACAAATCAGCCTTGGCCGTCTTGATTCATTTATGTATCGGGGCAGAACTATGTTGCACGCATACCTGTGATATGGTGACTATCGAGTTCGGCATCATACGCCAGATGCTGAGGCATGCGTTTCTTGGCGAAAGCCCTGGCTCCATCCCCACAAAGCAAGCTACGTAGGAAACGAGAGTGAACCGAATATCATCAAGATGTGTCATTGATTAGGGTACCGACAAGGCTGGTATGAAGAGCTGTTAAAAAACTATAAGTGCAATAATTCCGGCAGGGGCACGTCCAACCATCGGCGGTTTTTTACCCAATCCGAGTTGTGTATGTTTATATAGACCGACGATAGATCCTTACACGAACGAGCACGAATGTCGTCTGGCCATATCAGTAAACGGGGCTGTATATGTACATGCGATAAGAATATGTACATGCGATAAGAATAAAGGTGGATGATCCATTACTACATACATAAGCCCAAACTTGAACACCATACTCAATATACTTTACCACATGCTGGTTATGTGACACATGCATTGCATCTCGTATACTTACAGTGGAGGGATAAGACCTGCACAGCTCCCATCGGCCTGACACTTCATGACCTCATAGGCTAAGTCTATAGGATTGTCCACGCCTATGATAAAAGAACCATATCATACAAAAATCAGACTTATGAAACTACGGTTGATGTGAGTATTTGACACCCGAGGCAGTGAGTGCAAGTCTGTGGCATCCCACCAGGACATATTTGACATTGCTGTTATATATGCTTGAGTTTGTATGCTCTGATTATCCTCTATTAATAGTCAGTGTGAGAACCCTTCTACTTCATAACTTAGCATTGTAGATCCTTGAAGAAATACTTTATTCAACAGCCATATCTATGGAGTTAGCCAAGCTACGGAATACTCATGCACGATAACATATAAAGTAAGCTCCCATTGCAGCATCGCAAGTGAGTGGCGGTGTCGATCAATGTGCTGATCATATCCTCAAAGACTCAAACATCTTTCAGTCGATTGAGCTATCTCAACTACTAAAGTACGCGATATGTATGCTCGAAACGATGCTACACATAATTGCAACCAGTGTGCTTAAGCTATGATCTCATTTGGAAACACAGCCTAGCATAAACCGCATAAACTCTTATCATATTTTCACCTGGTCATATAGACCCTTCGTAGTGCAGGTGTATGAGTTGCTAGTATGGATATTTGCGCGGTAAGCAAGACGCAAGCCAAGTTAGGGTCAAGTCAAAATGTAGCAGAGCACTATGAGCAGATTTGTATAAAGGCAATAACTCAAGTACGTATACATATACGAATGCTGCACAAAAATTACTCGTACTGAGTGCAAATAAGCAGATGGTATACAACCCCGGTAAGCGGCAATTTCTATGGTTGCAACTATTCATATACTTTCATGCTGGCTATTCGAATACCGATTAATACATGATTTATATATGCATGTGCATTGGAAACAAGTAGCAAAACACTATCGTGTACACCTCTAACAGCCGCTACACCGCCACTGAGTCCGTTGCTACCCTCCATGATCCCTGCATCGCATTCAACATATCCATCGGCATTCAAATTTGAACCGTAACCAGCGTTTGTGAGCGAGCTATCCTGAAGTTTCATGCGAAGACAATATGAAAACACGCCAATGGACAGTGCTAGTGGCTGGAAGTCAATCGGATACTGCGATACATTTGGTTTTATACGTGAGTGTATACGCATGTGTTTGATTTTAAAACATATGTACTCCTCAGTATATGTATCTATAACCAAATGTGTCCGGCATATTGCGAACAATACCCGATTAATATAGCTAAACGAGAATATGAGTTCTACAGCGAAAAGTTAGGCTTGCATGATACTAAGGCACTCACACTAAAGTACTATTAAGTCGATGTAGAGTGTATATACTTCTCGCCCTTCAGAGCTACTGATGGCAAGGACTCGTAATACCTGAAAGCTGGAATGTTTTAGTGCCCCTATTAAGTTCTAACTGCTTAAATTCGCATAGACCATGGTATTGGAGCTATGATCGGGATTGAAGTGTCTGACGCTGGAACAATATACTAACCATGTTGGCTGACGAGTATATTCCTCACATCTTACAAATCACTATTCGCTGCACAAAAATTACTCGTACTGAGTGCAAATAAGCAGATGGTACACAACCCCGGTAAGCGGCAATTTCTATGGTTGCAACTATTCATATACTTTCATGCTGGCTATTCGAATACCGATTAATACATGATTTATATCCTAACGAGAGTGTATCTGCTCCCATACAAGTATACATTGGAAATAAATACAGATGTGTACCTCTATTTTTGGGCACGTAATATGATGCATATATTAATTTGATATTGGTAGAAAGAAAAGTGCGAGGGCCGGTGCACGCGACACTTGTTATCCAGTGGAAATTCAGGTACAAATGTTTGATACATTAAGATGAAATTAAACATATGTATGCAAACATACATATAAGCATGTAGAAATTCAGGTACGCAGACAAATCCATCACCAAATCGCGGTTGTATACACATTACACTGTAGGTTGATGCGTGCAAGCTGCTATTTCTCAAGGCAAGCAAGAACAACACCTCGCAACGTACGAAACAAGGGTAAATATTCGCTACACTTATATGCTACAAGTTCTTGCGTATCCACTTAACATAAATAATACACATTCACACATACCTCTAAAACTCGTATAGCTGCACACACACCCAGTGTGGCACTAGCGCCAGCCTTCATAGCTTCGATTGCTGCATCACTCGCCATTGTACATAATTTCTTGTACTTGGCTTCGTTCTGTGTTGAATGGTACCCGGCACCTATGTGTATGGCTACAAACGGCTGCATACTGTGATAGGCTGGCTATATATGCGTAATATTGGACATGCTTGCACGCTTCTATTAAGGCTGTGGATAGAGGTGTGTAGAGTACGCTAAACCATCATGCTGTGATTTATTTAGAAGTATCTACACGAAACGTGCCAACCTTATACCCGCTGTCTGTCTCAGTCTGTCTCACAATCTCAATGAGTCATCATGAGGAAATATTACACACCCAAGTAAAACTCCCGCCAGATATAAGTTGGTCTAAATATGGCAAGAGATAATCATCAAAATGCCATTTTTTTGGGGGTACTTTTAAATATTAAAAAGCAAAGAGCTTTTTATCAAGGCGCAGCCGAGAGTGCCGAGTTGCCGAAATGCCGACAACAACAAGTGGGATCTCAAGTCTCAGGGACTCTCCGCTCTCTGACTCTTCTCACAAATATATAATTTTTCTGAAAACAAGCCCACCTAAGTATGACGCGTAATACATACAGCAGTATTAAAAAATAAATACATGCACATAGCGTTCAATCTGCTGGGAGTTCGGCGAACACCTCTCGTAACTATGCATGATATTATAATATCAAGTGACACGGGTCATCGTTCAATACAAGCATAGCAAGTTGCAACCAACACGCACATTAGCATTCGATTAGTTATTTATGAGGTAGCCAAGCACTAGCTACAAGGAATACTGACTGGAAGTTTCCGTCCATATAATAGTTACTGAAAGAATTTGATCGCAATTCACTCTTGAATAAGTCAGCCCACATTACATCAATATGCAGGTCGAATTCGTCTATGGATTCCTCTTTGGTCAATCCGTGCTGCTGTGTCTGTTCATATTTATATTTTATTACTTCTGCCTGCGGCACAATACTACGAAGGATGGAGTTGAGATACAGAAGGCAGCGTACGTGCAGGAAATGGTAAGTCAACATCTAGACGTGTGGGTTTGTTATCAACTACTGTGAACAAATATGAGTATTTGCAGTGTAGTAAGTTGTACATCATGTAATATATACTAACTCATATAAGAATAATGAATACAACTAACTCAATCTAGTCACAAGCATGTCTAGGTAGCTCAAGACTGGTAACATTAAACATACACTCGTGCAAATATTAGCATATATCGATGCATATTTACATATATATATCGACGTGAATTTGTATATGTGTATATATATATATGTGTGTGTGTAACATATATATATATATATATACATATATGTATATATATATATATATATATATATATATATATAATATATATATATATATGTATATAATATATATATATATATATATATATATATATATATATATATATATATATTACATATATATATACATCTACATATGTATATTTATATTTATTTATATTTGTATATGTATATATATAGATATATATATTATATATATATATATATATATATATATATATGTATATATATGTGTTTGTAAATGTATGTATGAATGTATGTATGTATGTATGTACGTATGCATATCTGTTTGTATATATTATAGATATGTATATTTTGTGATTAGATTTGGCACACATGCTCTAACATAAATATCGATATTGTCATTTTTGATTTGGCACACGTGCTCTTCCATAAATACCGATATCGTCATTTTTTTTTCTTCCGAACTCTGTTGTCTGACATATCCAAGTTTACGCGGTCCCCTCCCCAACATTATAATTGTATACTATATATAAATGCAGCCCACCCTTGAGAGTATCGCAGACAGTGAACCAGAGACATGTGATTGGCTCTCGGCCGTCTTGCAGAGTGTGTACGTGTCGTTGCGCCATCGACAACTTAAGGCCTTTGTGCTGAACCGCATTAAATACGCGCTGAGCGGAGATGATCTTCCAGATTTCATCGTATGTTTGGTGCCAACGACAACTGATCTCGCAGTGTTAGTTGATTGATGTAGATGTACGTGTTCTAAGACGCCCATGTGTCCCTGGACCTGTGATGTAATCGTATAGATCGTGAAGTGCAAGGTATTTTGAGTCATGAACTTGCTTTTGGAGGTGTGAAAGAGTGTATGGCTATATATGTAACGAACCAAGTCAAAGCATGCTGTACTGAATTCGATGGTCTAACAAATTTGATGGATTTGATCTTCTGATTACAAGTGCGTCACATTTGTCTGTCCAAATTGCATTGCATTGCTCTCAGGGGAGCATCAGAATTGTGGATTTTACGCTGCCAACGGAGATGCCGCAACTCCGAGAGGCAGCGATCCAAGATGTCGAGGGTAGCAACATGGTACGTTCGTGTGTGTACAGTACATGGCGTGAGTGTTGATCCTTTCCAACATATTTGTTTCTCCCTTCGATTGTTCATATAATAATCGTTGTTCTCAATGTTACGCATGTGGTTGGGGTCGGGTGGATTTTTTACCCTTTTAAATGATGAAAAGGTGAATGGTTTTGCCGGTGGCACAGTACATATTTCTACGATGCGATGCAAATGTTGCGTTGCTGTCATTGGCATCTGTTTATCGTGCTTTTTAATATACTTTAACAAGTGTCGCCACAGACTCACAATAAGGCATTACCTATTGTATGATTCGTATCGTCTTGTCAATTCGTTTACTGCCGTGGGTATGTCAGTAACGGGGAGCACTCATTCCTGGCCGCTTGTTCCAACATTTAAACATGAAGACATTGCTGGCGCGTGTGGGATGGGTAGGTACCATGTCTGTCTCCGTAGAAGTAGATGTCGTGCTCAACTACCCAGTTGCGAGATTTGCTGTGATGCCTTTGGCCCTGTCGGTCACATTGCAGCGCTTCGAAGGCCTGGTATGTGAAATTGCTATGGTAGACAAATCGGATAGTTATAGCTCTTGGCTACCTCTACTGCCTACGAGACGACGATTTGTTTGCGTACTTTTACCTCTATCCTGCATCCTAGGAACACTATATGCCGCGATTTAGATTCCGTAGAGGTCGACTGAGGCGTTAATCTAGAGTAACTCCAGTGTCGCTAGAATGTGTGAATGCTATCCGAAACCCTAGCACATAACCGTACACATTTTGTCATATTCATATGTCGAATTAATCTTAACTCTTACCGTAACAATACAGTTGGCCTTACGCCGAATTCCAAGTGTGGTGTACGCATAAAATTGTCCTGTGGTACATCGTACCGCTCAGACGTATAGATCTGTTGTTTACAACATTTCCGGATGGAAGCTTGCATCGATTCCAGCTTTCTGAAGTTAACCTACTTGCCAGACTTCAATTATTACCATTTGTAGAGTTATCAATTCTATCGACATTGAAAGCTTGACTGAAATTAAAGTAGAAATTGGTGTACTGATTACATCTGCGATTTTGCAGGAGCTTTTCTTTTTGTTTTTTTGTTTTTGCCTTTTTGGACGCTATTGACCAACAGCAACCCTAATAACATACAGATGCGAATATTCTTGCCCGGGCAAATTGGAACAGACATGTCCGTGTGCTTCGATGGCGATCCAATTCTAGACTTCCAGCTCGGCACTGTAATAGGTGCCGCTACCAGAGTCCACGACCCGCCAAAACTTCTGGAGGTGTGTGAGGGCAGCGTTATCTGTATTCAATTTTCAATGGATCGATATATGCAGAGGCATGTCAAGAACAGTAGTATATCCAGCGTTGATGCACCCCATTGGTGCAATACTTAGCTGTGCTTACGGTGTCAGAGAGTTCTCATTGTGGGCTTGTGCGCGGCATCTTTGCATTCGCAAGCTGCTTATGTAGTATGGCTATCATCAGTGTGCGTATATATAGAGCAGTTTCATTACTTGTGTGTACAAATCGGTTATGAGGTGGCGGTGGAAACCAATGCATGTGTGTTGCTGTATGAAAGGCTCAGTTTTATCGTATTCAATGCTGAGTTTTCGTATACCCTCACCATGTGCAGTATGTAACGGTATTGATGTATGGTACTTTTTAGAGTTTTGGATCTTCGTCACACAAGAATACGTCAAATTTAAACGATTCAATCAGATCGCTCCAAAACTTCGGCATAAGTATAACATTTTATCCCTATTGACATTTATGTTAAACTTTTATTCCTGATGCGTTAAACGTTAAGCATATAACGTGTCGAAAATATATGAATCGATGTGGCACGTTCATTATCTTTGCGTTTTTCGTTTTAAACACTGAACGTCCGTTGTGGTTCATGATGACAATGACAGATACACTGCTGGCTAAACGTGTTTCAATACCTATTGAAACTTGTACGGATACGTACTCGGAAGTATGTACAGTGTACTGTACTAATGAGTATACATACACGACACAATATAGTCGGTCAGTGGTGGTCGCATCAAGCACCCAGCTCCGGGTTTGGTAGGGTGCCGGGCTACGGGCGGCACTGTTTCGATCTAACACAATCAACAGTAAAATGGAAAGTCCATTCCAAACCAATACACCGCGATAAAACTTTTCTTCTTCAAACAGTATCCAACTGTGCATTGCATAATATTTAGTATAAAGTTGAGGTGCCTCTCCGTTCTAGAACGCAAAGCCTTTGGCATGGAGTGTGTTGTCAATTGTTTCATTTTTGTATTGCACAGCTTTTCATTGCGAACGGAGTACCTTGCACTAGTTGGTTAGAAGCCTCCTCTATGCGTGTGCATGTGATCTGAATTTAAGAACTTTGCGCTTTGTTGTTACGCGTTCACGTGCTTAGATCGTCGTCGGCCGCGTACATCGTACCATCCATGACAAACTCGTGAGTCCGAACTCACTCTCCTTCGCTATACCGGCGGACATACTGACAAGCAATTTTGCGGCCCCGCCACCAAGTACCCCTGCGGCTACAAAGTCGCAAGGTTTGAGTTCGGGTCCATCGGTCACTGCCTCGCACTCCAAATCAGAAAGGTAAGTGCATATCTCAAGCAGTTGAAGGCGTATAGCTCTCTTTGTGGAGCTAGTAGACACTACTTGTATAATGTTTGTATGTCGCTGTTCATCGCCTTCGCTGTTAACGCAGTTCGCGAGCGTCTGGCGATTCCGTAGAATCCCTGCATATACCAATACGTACCGTATATGTTTGGCTTATGCGTGCTATTTAAATAAATCGCTTTTGTGGGGGATTTAATTGTGCTCCACAGTATGAAGCTGTATTTAAGCAATACACAGTCGCCTTGATATGTGCTATGTGGAGGACTTATTGGTTTCTGCGCAACTCATTCGTCATGTTGTAATCGATACATATGTTTCGTTTTTCTTTCAACGTATGGTGTGACGTGTGAATTATCATGGTGGATAGGGCGATTTGTCAAAATGAGTGTTAAATTTTTAACCCAAATGTGGAATGGACACTAACCTATGTATGTAGTGCACGAAGATGTGCGTTTATCATACAGCTCCTATTGCATCCCATAGGCACTGATAAAGTTTGATGTTGGTCTCCAATTGAGTGCATGCCGCAATGATGCACAGTGTCGTGAGTTTAAATGTGCATCTATTGGTTTGAGCAGGATTACTGATGATGTGATAACTACGATATAGAGATGTATTCGCAAACTCTCAGGTATAAAATAATTACATATTAAATCAAATTTCACTCATGTATAACACATGATCAATTTTCGATTTTCACCGCACTGGTAGTTTAAGCCGCAACTCGAGCTACAGTAGGAAGGGACAGCTAAGGCAATTCACTCCGGTGAGTCAACGCGTCCCAAATAGAGCACAGACGCTAGGGACCGAAGAGGTGATTTTCGATGAGGACAACGTCGCATTCCACTCCCCCGCTGCACCGAGGCAACGGAATGACAATGTAAACACTGAAGTGAGGTATCGACGACTTAATAAAGGGAGCTAGCTTATTGTATGGTGTGGTGCTGATAATCATGTCGAGATTTGAATATACAGTATATCAAGTGGTGTGCAGTATACATGCTGAGTATTTGATTTTGAGTCTATTTGATCGTATCTAGCTCAATTGTAGCTTGCCTGCAACGTAACTCGTTGTCCCAAAAAAATGACTTGCATTTCATGTGTAACTGAAGTTATGCTGTAAATACTGTGCGTTGATTGTTGATACAAAATACGCCGTGCCAGTCCGGTACTCGAGTCGCAGATAAGCGACCTTGTCGTCTTTGAGGATTAGCCCAGGTTTCCAAGCGGCCACATAGTTTCCATTTTCTAGTTGCACATGACGGTGTGGCATCAATTTGCACTGGCGAACGAGTCTGAGGTACCCTCGTCTCAATGAATAAAGCATTCTATCGATATAGTGCGATGCGTGCACTAAGATTACCCGAAACGCTATTTACGAACAAGGCGGTGCTAATCGTGTATACTGTGATTGTATTAAACTGGTCCTCGTGATAACAATAGTTTTCTTGGTTATGCTTTCTGCGAACACTACTGGTGATCAATGAAAGTGCAACCCGATGTCATAGACTATCTTAACTAAGTGGCACAATTGTATTCTCTGCGCTACATTGCTGTACATACGTAATATGAACCTTTCTCCATATGAAAGCAGACCTCCCACGGCCGGTGGGTGACCTTGCCTCGCTGAGCTTGCTTATTGTGCCTAGAAATATGGCGAAGCCCTGTACCGAATGCACTAGCGGCTATGCTTGCACACCTCATAGTAAGTCTTTGCCTATCAGTGACCCTATTCCCGGCCGATAATATTGTCTACTTATTGGTGATAGGTTCCCTTACGAGTTTACACGTGAATTCCTCTCAAAATGTTGTATTGCAGAGAGCTATTCATCGCCGATAAACTGTATTGATCATGAATGTGTCTGTTTTGAGAGCTATATATAGATATAAATAAAAGATCACCTGAGTAAATTGAGAGGAGCGAAGAGCCCGGAGCGATTCATCTTTGTCGGGAGTATCAGACATGCCACGAAATATCATTCTTTACTCTGGATTGTGAAGTCTACATTTTAAGTTTGATAAATAACTTGAACGTCGTGCAATGCTTAGACAGTACCTAGGACCCGCCATACTACTTGTATGGAGAGTACTAGAGATAAGCAAAGGAGACCTGGATTCTCCATACTACTCGTACAAAGGGTACTCGAGCGAAACAAAGGTTTAGACCTCGGTAATCATTATCAGAATACATTGCCATTGCGAAATTGGTGTCACTCCAACTAATTAAAAATTTCAATTGGCGCACAAGGACTCGAACCTTGGAGGTGGGACACCATATGATTTCTAATCATACCCTTTAACCGCTCAGGCATGCGCCAGATAAAATATGGCAACAATGTAAAATTATATAGCGCTAGTTACTGACTTTTAAGTATTAGCTATGAATTCTGTGTGCAATAATTACACTTGTGCAGTTGATATGGTGGAGAGACGATCATATATTTACTCACAATACAGGGTGCCCACCAATTTTCTGATATTCTAATATCTGGTTTATCATTACTCGAACGATAATTGCATTGATTCAAGCTTTTAACAGCTCTTGAACTGGGACATACACCATGCGCAGGACCTGCTAGCTCGTATGCATTTTGCTGAATATTGAAAAATGTACTGACTGTGCTCATTTGTATAGACCAATTCGAAATTTAAAATAATTTGTATTATATATTTATAAAATACAGCTGAAAGTTATCTGGCGCATGCCTGAGCGGTTAAAGGGTATGATTAGAAATCATATGGTGTCTCACCTCCAAGGTTCGAGTCCTTGTGCGCCAATTGTTTTAAGCATTTTTTTCCCTGGTTTTCATGATGGACCCAATTGCATTTTGAATACATAGCATCCATTAGCTGTTATCCTGTTAATTATTAACAGCTACGCAGTTCCAATGTTATTACTTATAGACATTTTTTTATTCCAAAAGTAAAATTTTCAAAGTGCTCTCGGTATCTTATTGTTCCGTCATATTATATATAGATAACATTATAAAAGGCGCGGCGTTCCTGTGCTGCTGAAGATTTATACATACGTTCATCCGATTGCATCCACATAGATGTTTACCTTTCAGTATGCGCGAACTTTTTTAAAGTATCTTCTAATATGCTTCGGTTTGATCAAATCAGGCACGATCTGCTAACTTTCTTCCCCTCTGTCTGCGAACTGCAAATCCTTGGCACCCCTCATTGAAATCCCGTGAATGACTTATATTGTCGGAAATGGCAGTCGTGCTAGCTTATTTCACAGCCGCTCACAGTATCAGTCTTCTGATTATGCGGTAGATGAACGTGCTTTTTATGTAAGGTAGCGCACTTCAACAGTTACTATCTTCATTTATTTGTGGTTGATAGCTCCTTTCAACGATGGCTAGCTATACTCCTGCTTCTTTATACGTTGAATGATCGGGTAATTATATAATTCTTTAACTGGTTATTATATTACCGATGTATGTATTGATTTGTTTATCATCGGCCGTGAATTTAATTGAGTGTGTTAATTGCATGGAACTCTGAAAAATAGTATAAATTCTTGTGAAAACTCCACCTCGGTTGAAAAAAAAGTAGACGTCTAAAATGGGAGGATAAGTTTATTTGGTCAGTTTTGTTTTCCAGGATTGTTAATATGCAAGTCCAAGATCGTGAGCATCATAGCCAATATTGTGACAGTGATGTATCCCTAGCCCTTAAACCCTAAAACCAGACAAGGGTAATAAATAGGATATGCCACGAGTAACAATGTCGTCAAAACAAATCCTGTAAACTCACTACCGTTCTCAGTGCATACAATAGCTGGTCAGCCAGAATCTGCGAAACACATATAGATTCTCTCATCCATATTTTTGAATTGATTTATCTTCCAGAGAATATCGCATATTAAATCGTGAAACAATATTAAACACGTGACAGCCATACTTGCCTTTCATGTGTCCGGACATGGGCAGTTCAATTAATTCAATGATAATCCGGCGCGACAACGGCTCGCCCTCAGATACGCTTCGCAGTTGTGTACCCGTGACGCTTAATATGGTTGACTTCGCAGTCAATGTATTCATGATACACTTGAGATATAGACTGCTTAGGATTCGTGTACAATCCCGTACCTTTCGCTATCATTCTCGGTCATCGCCTTATTCATATATCTACTAGCAAGATTCTGACTTAAGCATGTTTCTGCATTTATCATTTCATAATAGCTGTATAATAGCTGCTGCCTCGGTTGATCTTGAATAGAATTATCATTTCGTAATAGCTGCTGCCTTGGTTGATCTTGAGTAGAATTTGGTACAAGTCAGGTCAGAGTTGTTTCACGATACCATACGTAGGTCCTTCAACGTGAATATCACGTACCTTGGCTGGATATTATTGATGCATTACTGTATATAGTAACTCTTGGTCTTTCCTACGAAGATTCGACCAGAATACAGTCCGTACCCGTAGCACACACCTCTGACATGTCCATAGTTTGAGCACCGGATATCTGTGTATATAACTTCGATATGTAGTGAGATACTGACGTTCCCTCTCCCGGTGAAATCATGATTGATACCAGTATTCCCGGTCGATAGTTCTTCAAAAATAGCTGGACGATCATCTCGCTTTGCTCAACGTCTTTAACTGCGTTACCACATTCGCTTCCGACTTTTTCTAACTACCTGTACTTGTAATAAGACAGTTCAACACTCTGCTGTGATGCCTCTAACTCTGACCAAAGTCTTTTTAAAGTTATATACAAACCTACCAACTACTGGTATCGATGGACACCTGTGTTTCCTTTCGATCCAGTCGATATGTAGTCGACAACTTGCCTATATTCTTATCGACATCCTTGTTCTCTATAATCTTTTGCTGGTATAGATTACTCGCATGTTATAAAATATACTAGACTGGTAGATAGATACATATTAGCCTCCTAGTGCCTGCTTACATCTAACTATATGATATCAATAGATTCTGCACACTTTATACGAGTTGTAAAACCCGCAAACCTTGCTTATCTAGTCGGATGCTAATAGTGTAGAAGTCCTGATTGTTGCTGACCATACAGTCACATCTCATCGTCATCTCCAGAAGCGACGATATCACGATAGGTGATGCCTTAGGTTGCCGCTGAGAAGCAGGTGGCGGTGTCGGAGTTAGCTCTTGTCTCATGTTTGACTTTCGTATTCGGTTCTTCCCTATGAATCTATCATTTAAGATACCATCGAGATGATGACTCCGTTGCTGCCGGTTATGTGCATGGAGACTCTGAACTGGTCGTCTGATGCAGATACGTGTCTTCTCGTTCAGTCGCCATCTCGTAGGCCAAATCGTATTGAATAGTACCAATGGATCGGACATCAATGTTGGGAAGTTGGCGAGTTTATTCGTGTTATCGAACCACGTTATATTCGAATATCGGCCATCCTGTTTCGTCGACAAGAATGTAGGTAGTCGTTTCTGAAACTGCCGAATTTTTTTTTGCAATGTCGTATCCTGAATATTTCGTACCCAAAGTACCTTATACACAATCGCATTGAATAGTACTAATGGATCGGACATCGATGTTGGAAAGTTGGCGAGGTGATATTTAATAGCGAAAATATCGGCCATCCTGTTTCGTTGACAAGATTTTAGGTAGTTGTCTCTGAAACTGACTAGAAGTTTCCTTGTCCTTCGCTTCTTAAATATTTGCAAAGAAAGTTGCATCCTGAATATCGCGTATTTCGTACCCGAAGTACCTTATACACAATCGCATTGAAAAGTACTAATGGATCGGACATCGATGTTGGAAAGTTGGCGAGGTAATATGTGATAGCGAACCAAGGTAGATCCGAATATCGGCCATCCTGTTTCGTTGACAAGATCTTAAGTAGTTGTCTCTGAAACTGACTAGAAGTTTCCTTGTCTCTCGCTTCTTTAATTTTTGCAAAGAAAGTCGCATCCTGAATATCGCGTGCCCGAAGTGCCTTACAGCCGCGCGCATAATATAAGGTAGTGACAACGTTCCATCCGGTATAGTCTTACGTACGTCCGGAAAAAGAAACTACTGTGCCTTTCGAATACTTGTTGCCCTTACAACCCTATAATAAATCGCGATTCTATCCTTTTCGTCGGGTTTGATGCAACCAAAAGGCAAATCGCGATTCTATCATTTTCGTCGGTTTTGATCTCACAATCCAGTGGTCCAGTATAGACCAGAACTGTGTAGCATCTAGGAACCAAATTATCAAAAAGCCAATCCAAAACCCAAAACCCCCTTTAATCAAATACTGAGTTTTGGAATTAGGATTGTAATTTTTCTGATATTAAAGTCATCAGAAGTATTAGCGGTAGAACCGGTAAGCTATACCGGGACTCCCGCGTGTGAGAGAAGCACTCAAGTAAATCCTGAGTCTGGTGAAAACACAAATAAAGACTCAGTTCGGTTCTCTCAGACTAGAGAATTGTCCTAGCTGAGAAAACCGTACTTGAGAAGAGGTCTATTGTATCCCATTGTCTTGTACTTTCAGCCACTCTCCATACTCTACAACTGAACTTCTCTCACCTCCGGGCGTCGCGGTACTCGAAGAGCCTGAATGATCATTCCTGAAGGTATCCCAAAAGATATTCCATCAACCTCACAGCATATCATATTGCGGTTAAGCTAGCGCTGGAATATCAGGAAATCCATCCCATGCATATTGTTCTTCTACACCCTATTACAAGATTAGCCTATTCTTCAGTAATATAGTCAACGGCTCTAATAATACAGCAAAGTCCGGTACGTACCTGTGCCATCAATTAACTGTATCATATAAACCATATAGTTCCTCTTTGCTCTTGGGCACCCACATCGGTCAACCTCTCCATGACTTCGCACTTCGCCAGACGAACTTTAATATGTCGGTCATTTCGTCTGCGTAGTACTTCCTTCGAAAAGATAGCGTGTTCCTCCTCGGCCACAGATCCGAAGATGACATTAGCTATGTATATGTAGACCCCTTTATGAAGGTCTCGCAAAAGATCTTTTACTAGGGATTGGGATGTGAATCCTGAATCGATCAACTCTATTGGTTTTTTCAGGTATCGATATGGCTTTTCCTAAAAATAATAGGCGTATGTACGTTGTGGACTCACGTACAAGCTCAACCTATCAACAGCCACGCGCCGTGTCCGACTTAGAGGAGTATTTATATTTTTTTGATACACGTCGCACTATATCCTCTTCATTGAGTACTGGGATATGCCGAAACTTGAATTGTCGATTTAACGGCACAAGATTTGCATCGAAACACCAATGTTACAGGCTCCTTAGTGGGGACCATCAGCGTTCCAGAAACACTTCTCAACGACGTGCTCCTTATTAACGATCTGATGGAGCTTTAGTCGTATTGTGATCATGGTAACTGTAGCCATATATCATATGCAACCTCATGGAACTTGAATTGCCACCACAGTCATGCTTTTCTCCACATGGTGCCCTTCGCTCTGTCCTGACTCTCAGCGACGACTCAAATACATAGTCTTGTATCCATCGCCACCCCAGTAAAGGCACGTCAAATACCTTGGCGTCAACCCTATGGACTGTCTGCCAGCCCTCTGTGTCAGCAAAACCAAGCGTAAGCTCAATCCGTCCATACCATACTATCGAGGATGTATATTGTTTCTTTATGTTTAGACCGGCCCAACCTTTCGGTAACAAGCTTACATCACATTGTCCAGCATGCCCGACATTCGACGACAGTCGAACAGCAATTCTTCTCTCCAAGTTTTTATTTTCTATTTCTCAGCCGTCGTCCGATCGGCCCATACCGTCCTGCCTGTTTGTACAAGGTTGCCATATGATCTTTGTTACCATATCTTCTGCACCCGCCGTCAAACAAACAGTCCTTAGCGAAATGGCCAATTTTCCCACCTTTGTAGCTCTTGTCTTTGCTGCCACCTCAATATATGTTCTGACTCGAGACATCAGTCTTATTGCGTGCGCCAAGTGGCTTCTGTTATATTGAGCCTGCAGTGTCTACAAGCTTCATATTAATTACCAAGCTATCTTCATTTGCCAACTTCAAATTAATCATCATATCTATACATAAATATATATGACAGCAGCTTCGCTCTATCGTATGTTTGGCACATTAAGTTGTAGCTTCTGAATTTTTTTTGTACGAGCTCGTACAGATCCGATCTGCCTGATTGTCATCAGCCCTTCTAGACACTCTGTCTGCCAGTTCGGGACAGTTAAAAAGAGGTGATTAGAGGATCTATAATTCATCGCCCTAGTACCAGTGCAAAAGAAGGTATCAACATCGCTGTCAATAATAATCGACTCTTCTTGGATCATCGACACTAAGTCGGTTAATCAAGAATGAATTTTCCTTGGAGAATATCATTATGATAACTTCCAATCTTTATGTTCACACTAATGAACACCGTAATCTTTGCGTGGCTTCGTAGTTGTACGTTTTGATGCTTGTGTACTCTCTTTGAATGCACATCTATACTCATTCGAGCAACTCGACGGTATCATTTGGTGTGGGTACGTGATTAACGTTTCCGATTAGATATATTCTAAGTGCCAAAGTCTTTCATGATGGCGTTTTTGATTTGATCCAGTTCGTGCTCGATTTGATCGACTCCACGTTTCTCGATCCGCCCATCGTGGACAGTGTCTTCTCGTAAGGGTCTTTTAAAGGACGAGAGATAGAGGATTGTAGAAAATCGGTCTTCACTTCACCAGGTTAGCCACCCTGAATTAAATAGGATTTTCCCTGTGTAGCAAGTATACATATGAAATGGAATTTACAAATACAAATAATTATATATTAAATTTCATGAACCAAGCATCATTTCCGGATGGTCTAGCTGGTTATGACGGCTGCTTAACACGCAGCAGGTCGGCGGTTCAAGTCCGCCTCTGGAAATTTGTTTTTATTCTTTTTGAATTTGTATCATTCACAAAGTAGCAAGCATTGAACGGAATGTAAATAAATAAATACACTTAAGAATACAGTATGCACACATAATGTCACTTAACCGATAGAAAATCAATAAATCTTGAACCATGAATTTATAGATTTTCTTCTGTTCTGAGACGATGGAGTACATGTTCCATATTCAGTACGTAGCAAGTATCATAGCCTTCTAGGTTTGAAAAATAGGGCTATGTAAGTAAATGATTCATATCGATTGAAGAAAATTAATTTCCAGAGGCGGACTTGAACCGCCGACCTGCTGCGTGTTAAGCAGCCGTCATAACCAGCTAGACCATCCGGAGATGCTGGCTGTTGTTTACTTTTATAATTCAAAGTACAGTATATTTTGTGTCTACATATTTCATGCAACTTTCTTTTCACTATACTGTCCAATCTTCAACAAATTTAACAATATAGTAATACATTATAGGGTCTATTTAGTCGTACCACTACCATACGCATGGCAGCTAAGGAGGGCATCACGTTAACTTTCTGCAGTTAGACTATATATATATATATATATCTATATATATATATATTTATAGATATACCCTCCTCTATGGTCCAAAGCTATGGAACACTTTAACTACAAACCTACCATCGATTGCTTCTCCTCTCGTAAAAAAACGCAACTCTCACGCTTTGCGGGCCCTGAGGGAGGAGAAGTCCGCTGTTTTCCAAAAGTAAATCTTCTTCATGAACGCGCTTATGGAAATCCTGGCTGGTCTCTTACCCACGAATGGATGAAAATTAATATGTACTGAGGCACTATCATTGCTATTGTCGTTCCGGTGCGTCCATGCACAAAGTGGTGGCCTCTCTTCATCTCCAGAATACAAAGTCAAGCGTATATTGTTTTTATTGCGTCTACTACTTTTCGTCAGCATGGAATCACAACCATGTCCAAACCATCCTGGGTCTACACTGTGGTTGCCCTCGTTGATCCACTACGCACTGCTGTACCACCCGGCCCGGCTCTCCAAGCTGCCAATACTTCGAAAGCCTATCCCGAATTCAACAAATATTGTAATGTCTGTCTCGAGGCCAAAATTTGCAGAAAGAATATTAAACATCAGATATCTGACAACATCACCGACCCCGCGGAGCGAATTCATATCGATATTCAGGTACCGATGCCCCCTGATCGCATATGGTGTGGGATGGCACAAAATTTGGTCTTCACTCTGATTTGAAAGACCTAAATAATATCCCATACAGTGTTCTCGAACTTCTTCAGACTCCGGCGCATTACAAGCCTCACACTATTATTGCTGATGGCGCTAGCGTTTTCCAGAGTGCTGGAACTAAAGCCATGCTCTGCACTCGGCATATCTACCTCGGTCGCACTCCGCCCCATTGTCCTGAATTTAACGGCATGATCGAACGTTAGCACGACACGTTGAACAACATGACTCGGGCGCTCCTGAAAGATTCTAATCAACCCAAAGGTTGTTGGGGTTATGCCAAAACTTACGCTGGCATAATTAGGAATGAGAACCTCTCATCTGGTGGTTTCTTATTCTCTCCTGCCGATAAGTGGTTCCAGACTACTGTACTCATATTTCCTGATGCCCGCTACGGGTGCATTATCATTTGGAAACTTGAGGGCAAGGACTACACTGATGTCCACAAGTACGGCGACCATTTCGGCCGCGGTGTTTTCCTAGGACGTTGTTCCATCTCTACTCCGGAAAAGTGGCTTATACAAAGTTTTAAACTCAAACTTTATTCACGTAACGTCAAGTTCTTTCCCACTGAATTCCCTGAATGGTCCGCTGATGGTAAACGTTGTTCTCCTGGTACAACACCTTGTTCATATACTATCCCCCTCGATTGGGCTGCAGACCTTCGAAAACGTGCTAAATCTATCCCTTTCATCTCCCCTTAACTCCCGGCCGTCGCCCATCATCACCTGGTATCTCCCAATGCTACCTCCACAACAACCGGCACTGCCCCGTCCTATATCAGTATTGTTCCTAAGGCTGTCCTTCCTCGTTATATGTCCGCTGTCTCACCAACAAATGGCAATCCCCCTCCACCCTTACTTCCTCCTGTAGCAGCATTACCCTTAACACCTAAACAAACACCACCTGTCATTATGCCTACGCCATCTACTTTTCATACCGATCCTAGTGATGATCATATTGACTTTATCTTTCCTAGTTCACCAGCACGTGTCATACCCCCCATGCCTACCGCAGTCCCACTTCCACGTCCACAGCCCGTGTACGTGGAACCTCGCGATCGACCGCTCCTCTCCGACACTCGCCGCATCGCTCAAGCCGAACCTCGCAACACTCCCCTACTTTCGGATCGCCCCCATTATCTAGCACTACCGCCGCCTACGCCCCTTACATCTTACACACTCCCTCATTTCTTCACTTTGAGACCATGCTTCAAGAGCCCCACATCACGCTCCTTCTTGCTAACACTACACGTCATCAATGCACTGTTCCACCCCAGAAAAATTCTCGGTACCTACACCAATGCCGACATCCCATCCGTCCATTCTAACTCATCTGGATGAATACATTCTCGCAGCTCGTTGCCGACACCGTGAACCCCCAGTCCCTTCAGTATTTCTCCCGAGCCCTCTGACTCACCGAGCCTCGCGTCCGAACCCTTATTCCTCTCTCTCCGCCTGATGATCACTCTATAGATTATCAAACCATATACGACTTCAGATCTGTTGATATCCACCCTTCTATCCGTTCTCTGTCCCAGACGACTGACTGCAATTTGTCTCGTCTTGACGCCGTCAATCTTCTATATCCCAAAATCCCGAAGTATTAGGCAAGCCAAGTCTCAACTCGAATAGTCTAATTGGGAGGCAGCCATTAAGAAAGAACTTGTCGCCCGTGGCCGTAATGAACTCGCCGATCTTATACCTACAACCGACGTTCCACCCCGTATACGTGTTATACATTCAAAATATGTTTTTATCATCAAACATGATGAAAATGAAACTCCGACCATCTTTAAAGCTCGTCTCGTCGCCCGTGGTGACCAGCCACAACAAAGAGATTCATTTTGAAATACTTATGCCCCTGCCGCCACGTCATGTACTCTTCGTTCATTTTTCGCTAACGCGGCTTTCAACGATTTAGATGTTTTCCACATTGATGTGGATACAGCCTACTTGTATTTCCCACTCGACACACCGGTCTATATGTATTCCCCGCATGCAGCCTTGACTTGGGATACTACAAACCGCTTCACATTCTTCGTCTAACATGAGGTCTCTTTTACCACAAGCAGGCTGGTCGTCTCTGGAACATCGGCATCGCTGCCAAACTTAAAAGGTTGGATTTCATTCGATCCGATTATGATGAGAGTATGTGGATTCATCGTACTCGCCCGATCATTGTCGTGCTTTACGTGGACGAAATTGTACCGGCCTTTCCACATGACTCTGGTGACAAACAGTGGCTCGCCAGCATTGAGCAAATTCTACAGCCTCAAATTCCTTGGCCTTGCTTTTCACCTTGTGGGTCTTCGAATTTGACAGCACGCCCACGGCATCACCATTGATCAACATGCGCACTTAAGGTCTCTCCTCAACGCGTTTCCCCTATCGAATACGTAAACCAAATACACACCAGGCAATGGGGATCATCCAGTCAATTTTGTCGAATTCCCAGCTCTTATCCGCCCAGGTTTCCGCCAGCTTTTAGGCGCACTCGGGCTTGCAGTCAATCTTACCCGTCTCGACACGACATCTCAGCTACCCTAAACCAACTCGCCTCTTTCGGTACGCAACCAACCGAGGCCCACATGCTAGCCCTCGAATGTATATTCCATTACCTCCGTAATACCTTGGACTATTCCATTACTTATAAGCGCAAATTGTCCGATCAGACATTTGATTCTGCACTTATTGCTTGTACCGACTCGGATGGGGGGGGGTTGCCGAATGTCAGCCAATCGCAGACCGATACACTTATTTGCTTACATGGCTCACCCATTTAACGGAAGAGCCATAAGCAGAATACCATCGCAATCAGCAGCTCGGAGGCTGAATACGTAGCTATGTCTGAAACAACACGCAATATTGCGTGGGTGCGTACCATTGCTTCGGCCATGGCGATATCCATCACCAAACCCACCAACTCTTTTGCGACAACCAGTCCGCCATCAAAATTGCCCTCGGTACCGGAACCCCCAAAGGTATCCGGCACATCGCTACTGGGCTGGCTTCTTGAAAGGATTCGTGTTTCCTTTAGAAGGACTGGTATTCTTTTCATTTTGATCACCGCGTGGATTGTGTCCGCGACCTTTGTCTCTATTCCAGTATTGGTTGGTCGTGTGGGCTGCTTGTCCCTTTTCGGTCGATTCACTTGTTGACGATTTGTATAATTTTAACTCGATGCTCCCTTGACGAGGGCAAACTTCTGCTTCTTTTGTATGACTACTCGAAATGTCTCGGCGTATTATCCGGTGATGTCGCGGGCTTCGCGATGTTTGTTCTCGACCAGTGCTGATACAGCTGCGCCCACTTTAATGTAAATTAATATCGTAAATATGTAAAATATCTGAATTTAATTCACAGACAATCCCCTGTATTCCTGTAAGCTGTTATTTAGGGGTGTTACAGAAAGTTGCTGACTGATTCAAGCCTCGGAGGAGCAATTTTTAGTGAGTAATATGGTCATTGGTTACCAATTCTGCCCCTCTCTCGTACCATCTTGGCGTGGTACTCGGGCAAGAGCGTATGCTGTCATTAAATTTTACACACTGACAAAAAAAAAGTTTTACATGTTCGCCAGTGGTGACAGGATGCTCTGGTACTGCCTTGTTCTGGAACCACTGGGAAAATGCTAGGTTGTTGCGAATAGGGTGAGAACTACGATAGTTCATCAAGAATGTGGGATGGGAGTAGTCAGTGTGTAGATTGCCAGTGTTCGCAAAGGCCTGAAAGGCATTTGTTTGAGATCACAAGTCTGTGGTAGTCGGATCCTGGGCTAAGATTTCCAGTTGCGATGCCTGGAAGCCAACCTGGTTTTGCAAGACAGTGATGACACCTTGTTGTTGTTGCAGAAGTTGGCAAATTTCTTGGTCCGCCATATTACGAGGTGATCTGCCGGGAGGAGTATAAAGTATACTCTAACGGTTGGCCGCGAGGAGAACAGATGATTAGAAGGATTTTCTGTTCTTCACTCTTATACCCTAATAGGGTAAAAGTTCAAAGGAATCATGTGAGTGGAATGACAGAATGTGATATTATTCCAGGAACATGAAGACTTAACCTAAATAGCAATTGTAAAAATAAAGTCATTTTTATGTCGATCTTGTATATGTGCTTATGAACGGCTCTTGTATAGTGAGGCTGTGCGACCGAAATGCCGACGAATAGAAAATCACACGCACGAAATCAACATTGCAGGATATACATTCAAAGGTGGGCCGGATGTGCAATTACTTAGCAAACACGATCAGTGGGATAGTACCAACTTATCCCGAAATATGAATGCGGCAACTAGCATTTTTTTTTGCGCCATCGTATTCTAATAATACATCCAGTCGATACCTTCTGGTTGGACTAACCGCCGGAATACTATACAACGCGCTATTTTGTAGCACACGCGACGTAACCGAGTGTCAAAACTATGTAAAAAATTGATATGACCATTGTTTTTGACCTCGTGCAATTTTGCGATGCCACGCGCCATCGAAGTGAGAGCAACAGCTATTATTGTGGTGAAAGAACGGTAGTTCGGAGTCACTGAATTTTTGTTCATAATCGCACCTCTTCCGGATCCCGCCCACGGCCTCCGCTTTCTGTTTGTCCAAGAAATATATAATAGAAGGAACCTGCATACGACTGGCACCGGTAGAATATTTGAATTTGTAAACACATACTCGTGCATGCCTAAGCACTAAAACTCCATTATTCAAACATGATTATTCAAAACAAAAAGTTGATTTAATTCAAAACAGTATTAAACATATCTGCTCAAATGTAATTAATGTGCTTTCATCGGGTATACAGGCATTAACTCTTCATACGGTAGTCGTCTCCCTCTAATTTTATCTACTCGTGTACTCCTTTCGTCTTAAAACCATGTTTATCTCTACTCGCACGGTCGTAGACCTCGCGTATGATAATGGAAAATCCGTCCGAGGAGTCTGTGCAGATATAACACGTTTCTTGTATCTGGTCGGAGTCAAATCGCACGAGGTTTAGCAATCTGAGTGTACACGCACATTACATATATTCGGGTCTGCTCATTCTTTAATACTTTCTCCCATTCATTCGTGTGCAGTCGCACGTTGTGTGCATATGTTGTTATCCACTCCCGGCCCTAGCCTTACACGTGTTACCCGGCGTATTAGCATCTCATCTTTTTGCTAAGAGGTGTGTCGCGATCGATCTCGCAGTTGCTAGCAGATCCCATTACTTCGGGTTCGCCATCCCTTTTTAGTGAACCACCACACAACTTGGCAGCCGACGTTGTAATCGTAGTGTTTAGTCGAAGTGTGACCAACAAAGGTGTATTGGGAGCGGACGCGACGCGGATGGTCTCGGAATCATGCTGTGGCAAAATGCAGGAGAAAAACCAGTAAACAGGGTGTTAGATTGATGGTAGTTGAAAGTGCGACGCACCCAAAACTTTGGGACTGAACTGCAGTTCGTGCCTGCGGACATTTCAATTAATATCAGGTTCAAGTTAACCAAGACAATTTATGAAGGGAAGACCAATGACAAATTAACGAGCGCTTGGCTTTGGCAGCGGCAGGCGTCACGTTCCGAAATATAAAACCTCTCATAAGGTGAAGATGATGCAAGCGTAGGGCAAAAGTCCGCGAACATCGCGAGGGCTCTTCAACTGAAATCCATTCCTATTACCTAGCTAATTCGCAAAAACAGATATGGACATAGATGTTTTGGATCCGCACTGAGCTATCGATCAACTTGCGGCTAGGTTTCATGATGTAACGACAGCGGTATTTTAGGTGAGACTTTGGAGAATGGCCCAATAGTCAGTAAGATACGATCGAATGGCAGTCATTATGTATATTGCGCATTAGCAAAATATTTCTCCTTGATTCCCATTGCCCGCCCGTATTGTCCATATCATTCTAACTTTATACATATTCGTGCCATCGCAACCACTTGGGAAAGCAATGCTGCATGTATTATCGCACATGAATATAAAGAGAGGTTTCTTGTGGGTTTGGTGTAAGGAAGTACACTTCAAGCTCACATTACCTGACTGTGAGTGGGGTTGTCCTTCAATTTCTCATAGTCAACTACAGGCGCCATAGGCGGCTCTTGCTCTACTTCCTTGCACTTCTGGATCGTCTTAAGGCTCTGGACGTCGTGTTTGTTGGTAAATGATTTAAATAGTTTGCAGGTCGATGTTAGTCACAAGATACCGTATAGTTCATCCCGTTTACAAAGTGTGTCAATTTATCTAATAAAATATATAAATTTATACAATGAGAAATAAAAACAAAATCCTGATATGTATTAGGGACGTGACCCAAATTCATCACTGCTCATAAATCCTGGATCCATGTACAAGTTGTGCACCTATTTCTACTAGCAGATGTAGCAACTGAAATTCACACTAAACGATTGAAATCACTAACGTGTATAACAGCAAGAGGTATGCATGAACCTGTACCTACGCTAAAATTATCATGTTTTATATTGAGATGCCGAAGAAACAGCACTTATTGAATACCTAGTCAACAAAATAATTACCTCGCCTACGTTGTCAAGTACCATCCCCACAGGTGTCATGCCAGGTTGACTACTGGCTGGCGTGGCTACTGTAGAATTCTGGTCGTCTGGTTGACTGGGTGAAAAGGCTGCAGGAGTCGTCTTATCGAGGGCTTCATCTGAAGTAGTAGACGATGCACCACAAACGCCGTTGAGAATACCAAGGTTTCAAAAATTGGTTACGATGTTACAAAAGAGGATAAAAGGCAAAGGGCTTAATCTTTGATAGATAGTGCAAGTTAAAACTGATAACAGATATATCCAGTCTTTGTGGCTAGACCATGTTTTACGAACAGTATCAACGACCCGCTCAACCCACTCACCTGGTATCTGCCTTTTCTGTACATTCGCATGGTCATTGAAACACCTTATCTCTACCGGCAAATCCCCGCTTGCTCTATGAGATACATGATATCAAGAAAACGAATTGAAAAGCAACTAGTGTCAAGCAACGATAGGTTAAGATAGTCATATTCCCTTGTACCTGTATGCCTTTTTCTAGTTGTTATATAGCTCCCCCATGCAAATACAATGTCCTGGGACCGTCCGATAATACCATACTACCGGGTAGCTGAGTGCGTAGTTAGTGTTAACTTGCACCACTCACAAAGGTTGAATAAGGTAGTTAGTGCTGACTGCATGCGAGGGTACCCTTGTATATGCTAAATGGGTAGTGCTGCATCAACTCGCCCTCCTTCGATGACGTCAATTACCATCGACAAACAATAATATGGAACGAGCAGATTCGTTTCAGTATGTGAATTCAAAGTTTATTGATACATACTGCTCGCGCGTACGAAGGTATATTGCGGCTTTTGACATATGCTAGCTGATACTGCCACTAAATCGACACACCCTCGCATTAACTTCAGTACAACTTTGTATAGCCTGATACCCACTCAGTAATATGACATTCTCATACTCTGTCTTGTGATGGCAGCGAGGCTCCGTGTTGACCATAGCGGTGTTTGCATCAGGAGCAACCCGTATAGGTTTCTGACGACAGCCGCAGGCGTCATTCTATAGACATTGAGATACAATTAAAAGCAACGGTGAAAATATTTTAAAATCACAAGCACATATCTGGGCCTGAAGACCAGTATCTAGTTTGTTTGGAGAATAGCTTAACCTATCGTTTTAAGCCAGTAGACACGATATACAGCCAAGTCCGAGTGCTATCGATGCCACAGTCAGCCTAAATAAGCAATCATTGCACTTCTTATTCTGGGCAGTCGCACGAGCTCTTTGTATGAGAATATACCGCACTCAAGCTCAAGGTTTTCAAGATAACATCATGATTCCAATTCATTCTCGTATTCATTCCGGCTTCTTGTGTAGTTGTTTTGATATATTATTTTGGTTCCTGAGCTGGTTGTGTAGTTGTTTTGACATACTATTTTGGTTCCTGAGCTGGTTGTGTAGTTGTTTTGACATATTATTTTGGTTCCTGAGCTGGTTGTGTAGTTATTTTGATATACTATTTTGGTTCCTGAGCTGGTTGTGTAGTTGTTTTGACATATTATTTTGGTTCCTGAGCTGGTTGTGTAGTTATTTTGACATATTATTTTGGTTCCCGAGCTGGTTGTGTAGTTGTTTTGATATATTATTTTGGTTCCTGAGCTGGTTGTGTAGTTGTTTTGATATACTATTTTGGTTCCTGAGTTGGTTGTGTAGTTGTTTTGATATATTATTTTGGTTCCTGAGCTGGTTGTGTAGTTATTTTGATATATTATTTTAGTTCATGAGCTGGTTGTGTTGTTGTTTTGACATACTATTTTGGTTCCTGATCTGTTTGTGTAGTTATTTTGATATATTATTTTGGTTCCTGAGTTGGTTGTGTAGTTGTTTTGACATATTATTTTGGTTCCTGAGCTGGTTGTGTAGTTATTTGGATATAGTATTTTGGTTCCCGAGCTGGTTGTGTAGTTGTTTTGACATATTATTTTGGTTCCTGAGCTGGTTGTGTAGTTGTTTTGACATATTATTTTGGTTCCTGAGCTGGTTGTGTAGTTATTTTGATATATTATTTTGGTTCCTGAGCTGGTTGTGTAGTTGTTTTGATATATTATTTTGGTTCCTGAGCTGGTTGTGTAGTTGTTTTGATATATTATTTTGGTTCCTGAGCTGGTTGTGTAGTTGTTTGGTAAATTATTTTGGTTCCTGAGCTGGTTGTGTAGTTGTTTTGATATATTATTTTGGTTTCTGAGCTCACTCTTCTACAGTATGGAGTCTGCACTGGATACTACGCGTAAATAGTAGATATCGAAATTTTGTTGCTGGCAAAGTAAATTTGAAATCAAACCCTACCTAATCTTCCCTATATGCCACTTTTCCACCTTTATGTCGAGAGATAAAAATAGGCGCACGATAGACGTACTTAGGATGTGCCAACGGTGAAATATGTACTCATCTTCAATGCCTATACTTGCAGCTTCTCGTGTGTATACAATACCGACAGCGCAACTGTCATCGATTTCACAATACAGGCCAGTATAGGAAAATATTAGCTATATACGACTTGAGCTTCACATACAATACCGATCGCAACTCTCCTGTCAACTCTGCAATCCTATCAAGTCGAGTAGCGTTGAGTGCCACTTGAGCATCGAGTGCTTGGGTTGATTCCTTCAGGTGTTGAGTTAATTCAAGCATCTGCGCTCTGTGTGTTTCTGTCTCCACTCGTAGAAGTTTTATCACTTGAAGCCAATGCTGTAGTAGAGAAAAATGTTCTGGATAGGTGAATGTCAAGAAACACACTTCACATATAGCACATGTGACAAGCGTATGGCAACCCTATGTGTATTTCCAGCGAGTTGCACAACGTACCGACTCATACGCTCACTTGAAATCAGATTCGAATAAAATCATGAGTCATATTGATTGGTACTGTTGGCTGTTAGACACAGAAGGGATTGATTTGCGACTTCTTGCATATTCAGTATAAAACTTGCCAAGGTTCAATACAAAATGGCTCCATGCATTTGATAGCATACATTCTCAAAGCTCATGCACACATGTCCTATACGCACACGCTGATAAAACCAACCGTATCGTACCTACACGTAAATGTACATCACTTTTAACAGACTCGCACACCAACATAAGCATATGATAGAGTTCACTCAACTTGGGAAAAGCAAGCTCGTTTGCAGATTTATCGGTGAACACGCATATGTACACATCTGCACATATACCTACACTCACCTTACAACCTATAGGTCAATGAACACAATACAACGAGTATGAAGAAATATAATCGTATCATAAGTGGTTTCAGACTGTACGTTCAATTTGTTGTTCTTATACACGAGCATAAGCTATGTTGTCTTAAACACACATGATCGTAGCTTCCACAAGATTATTCACACCTCCTTGCTCTCACTCGTTTTTTGCGTGGACACATCGTTCTGCTGATTCGCATTTGCATTTGTAGCGTCATTTACTTCGAGAGCGGCAGTCGCCTCCAATATAGATTTCTCCAATTGAGCATTCTGATTAGATAGTGTAGAAGATGTGCTCACTGTAGATGACCGCATGCTGAAGCATCAGATGGGCTATTAAATTCTATGAAACATAAAACATCGAATGCCAAAGGACGAACTAACCTCGCAAAATGAAAAGGTTCAAAAGGGTTGGCCATTCGCACTTCAGTTAGCGAATCTTTTTATACAATGTCAAATCGATGCCACTTAAAGGTTACTTATGCCAATATGCTCTATTCACTATACCTGTGTACATACAAGCCTACCTGTTTTCTCAATTTCGCAATCTCAGCGTTGCCGTTGTCATTGAGCTCTGCTGATTGCTGAAGTTGCTGTCGCAGTGAATGAGCTATCGTTCGATACAACCACAACACATCATGTAGTGTAGATGAATTAGCTTTCAGCTGAGGTGGTGTTAGCCGGGGGTTGATTAGAACCGTCTTAACTTTCAGCAATTATGCGATGGTACTATTGTTGCGCGTAAAATCAGTTCTACACAAAGCATTAAGGAGTATAAAGGTGATCGTACGTAAAACTACAGGTTTGATAGCTCGTTTCGTTCGAGGTACAGTTTAGATGTAATGAGGGTTCTGAGAATTGAGCTCTTAGTTTCCGCTTAAAGTATGCACGAATCAACAATGTCCGGGTGTAATTCACGATGACCTCACACACATTCATCCTCTGAAGATATTCAGCGGCTGATGTCTCAAGTATACCCCGGCATAGAAATACTCGCACTTAGTGTACCATGGCAAAGATGACTTCCCTGAAAACCACATACTGACTGGTTCAACAAACGAGATAAAGCGCATACCTAGACTTTCAACAACTTCCAGTGCCTGGTTGTTATTGTTGACTGTAGCTCTGAGTTCATCGCACTGTGATGTTAGCTGCTGCAGTTTTTCCTGCATCTCCAGTTCTTTCTGTTTGGTATCAGTGTCCTTGGTTTCCTATCTCGGGATATAGAGGTGATGAACATCATTTTTTTCGATCTCGCGTAACATATAAGAAGGAGTATATTTCGATTCCATACTTTCTTGGAGTTTGGCATACATATGACCGGTCATGGCTCGGAGAACAAACTGATACTGACAAGCCGTCACCAGCGGTGTGTGTTGGCTGATTCTATTTTATCAGTTGATTCGTAAACTCAGTTAAGCATAGATAGTAAATATGCGTTCACGCACTAAACACGTGACTCTCCGTTCTTACAAACCCAACTGGACAACAATCGAAAATAAATTGATATACGCAAGTCGCACCACACAAGACCTACCCTAGAAGCCGATTCTTGTTCGAGACAGCAATTCTTCAGCTGCAAAACGAATAAAAGTCAGATTGCATCCGAACACATACGGTGATTATCAAAGTTAGCATAATTTTACATCGACACTCTTTTGATGAATTGACGACATCAAACGCGGATAAATATTTAAATAGAAAGTGAATCTTCGAAAATGGAAGAATTTAACATACATATAATGTATAGAAAGAGTTATGAACAGCTTGAGTCACACTTCAGCGCATGATGTTTCTTTCGTTGCAATTAGCTGAAAATAGTCCAGTTTGTAAATATCATGCTCACTTACGTTGACTTTCTTCAATTGGAGGAAAAGCTCAGATACTTGACTGTCTTGTATTTCTGCGCTAAGAGTCTTCCGGGTCTAAGTGATGAATACAAGAATGATACGATCTAGTATCAGGTAGTATTTCAAGCTGATGAAACGAGGTAGTTGCGTTGAAAAATGGTTTAATTTAGGTATTTATCGAAAGTGACTTTGCATGAATGCTAACAAGTATAGGCTACATGGGACGATACAGTGAGTATATGAATAATGACAGGATATCAAAAAGATACAAGAGAATTTCCGGGGTAGTACACTCAAAAGAAGCAAATTGGACCATATGAAGAGACATGTGAAAATTCACAGGGCAGTACACACACACACACACACACACACACACACACACATATATATATATATATAAATATATATATATATATATACACACACACACACATATATATATATATATATATATATATATATATATATATACATATATATATATATATACTTCTGCATAGATTATCAATATTGATTATTATTTTTTCATAGCACTTTGCCCAACACAATCACATCTCGAGAGCCGAGCCACAATTCTCCAGGGGGCGAGAGTTATATATATATAATAAGGCACATGAGGGAAAATATAGAGCCAGTGTACCAAGGACAGATAGACTAACCTCCAATCATCTTACGAAAGCATAGTGTTATCTATATTTAATTTCTCTAGTATGATCTTCTAATATCATCCTCACCTCTCGTGTCGAGACAGTACAATGTAGGTTTTGTTGAGTATGTGTGTATACTCATATACAAAGGTACACATGACACACAAGAAAACACACACATGACACACAGGCACCACCCCCCCCCCCCCCGACTACATATACGCACGCACACACACATGCATGCACACATTCAGTACACACACACACACACACACACACACACACACACACACACACACACACACACACACACACAACACACACACACACACACACACACACA